GCCCAGAGACTACGAAAGGCGCCAGGGAGGGCCGCCGCCGTCGGCTCGCCTGGCCCCTCCGACGGAACCAGCTGCAGCTCGTAAGGTTTTAGTGCACCCTCGACGCTCCCCACCGGTTCGGAGATGATGCCAGCACGGGCCGCACAGGCTTCCCGGAGATCCCGGCGATTCCATGGTCTCGAGCCGGGCGTCGTCGCTCAAGTCCGGCCCCGGGGCCCTCACGGACGGATCCGGCTCGAAAAGACGACGCAGAAAGATGGTGTCTGGGGTTCCGATCGTGTCTTTTTTTGGTCGGCGGCTCCGAGGCAACGGTCACGGAGCGAAAGCGGCGTCCGGGGCACGGTACGAGGCGAATTTGCGAACAAAGCCGCCAGTGTCGGCGATCGTGTCTTTGTTGCGATGTTGCAGCTTTTTGCAACGTCGGGTCTCAGGGAGGCGCACCGCGCGGCGCACCGCAGACCCCCCTTTGTGAGGGCGGCCGACGGCGCCCGCAGGACAGCCCAAGATGGCACCAGCCGGTCTGCAGGACATCCTCGGAGGCCTAGAGGTTGACACCAACACCAATATCGGCGATGTGCCTCCACCGAAGGACGATGATCCCGATGACGGTGATGGTGGTAATATTCGGACTCCCAAGGTGGCCGAAATATTACCACCAACACCAAAATCTAGGATCACCTTCCCCTGGTGGAGGCAACCCTCGGTGTTGGTGTTGGTGCCCATTTCCAGGCCTCCCACATCCAGCAGCTGGGCGCAGTGTGGGTGAAGCTGGAGTTTGGGATGTCGCGGTCTGGCACTTTGGGCGACGGCGCCGATCTGGACCAGATCGGGGGCCCCGGAGCAGCCCCGGGCCCTCGTGTGCTCCACGCTCTCGTCTCTCCGAGCAGCGCTGGCGTCGAGAACTTGGGGGCCGCGCACATGTGGGCCACAGCACGACCGATTTGGGGAGCTGCTTGGAGTGCTTGATGGTGGCCATCACACGAGCCCGCATACGCATCACATGTTCGAGGCCACGGACGCCACTCCACACCCTGATGGGCACGTGCGGGCTCCTGGGCGGAGCACGCACGACTCCGGCGTCCGTTCGTCAGTTAAGACGGCCTGAGACCGCCCGAAGTGGTCCTGCGAGGCCCCCTGGGATCCGAGAGAAGAGGGCACCGCGACCTCAACCCCTTGAGGGCCCCAAGAGGACATCAAGACATGACGAGTGGGCGATCGCAGCGGGCGGTGAGCAGAGCCAGCAGCAGCAGCCAAGAGAAACGAGCACCAGCAACCAGCAGCAGTGAGCTCAATAAGCCCCTAAGACAGCTCCAACAGGGCACCAACCGCCGCAATCAGCAGCACGTATTGGCCAACAACAGCAAGTACGTGGCATCATCGCAAAGAAGCAGCAAGCTGCATCAAGCAGGATCAACAGGATGGTGTTGTCTACCGTGCATTGCCACTGGCTCACGCTAGTCAGCTACAGTGCTGGAATCAGCGCGTGCGAGAAGGGCAAACATTGGCAGCGGGCTCTTGCGTTGCTCAGCGAAATGCTGGAAGCGGAAGTGGAGCCATGCTTAATCAGCTACAGCGCTGGGATCAGCGCGTGCGCAAAATGCGGCCAGTGGCAGCGGGCCTTGCCGTTGCTCAGCGAGATGCTGGAAGCGAAGGTGGAGCCCGACGTCATTTGCTACAGTGCTGGCATCAGCGTGTGCGCAAACGGCGTGCAGTGGCAGCGGGCTTTATCGCTTCTTGGCGAGATGTGCGGAGCGAGCTTGGAGCCCGACGGCGACATCTGCAACTTCGTGGCCAGCGCGTGCGAGAGAGCCATCTGTCTTGACCCTGGGGGCTGGTTGCTCACTGGCCCAAGCTGGCGGCTCCGGACTGCGCTGCCAGAACCAGCGCGTGCAGCGCAGGTGAGCACTGGCGGCAGGCGGCATCGCTGCTCCGCGAGGCGCGCGTCCCGACGGGATCAGGAGCAGCGACGGGAGCGGCGCGTGCGACACGTGCGAGCAGCAGCAGCAGCAGCAGCAGCAGCAGCAGCAGCAGCGGGCCCTGGTGCTGCTCCGCGCCCCGAGAAGAGTGCGCGTGTGTGTGTGTGTGTGTGGGTGTATTTGTGTATGTGTGTCCATGTGTCTGTGTGTCTGTGTGTCTGTGTGTCTGTGTGTCTGTGTGTGTGTGTCTGGGTGTCTGTGTGTCTGTGTGTCTGTGTGTCTGTGCGTGCGTGCGTGCGTGCGTGCATGCGTGCGTGTATGTGTGTGTGTGTCTTTCCGCCGGAGCAGTCGTCTTCTGCCCAGCCGCCGACACAGTGTGTGTGTGTGTGTGTCTGTGGGTGCGTGGGTGCGTGCGTGCGTGCGTGCCTGCGTGTGTGTGTGTGTATGTGTGCGTGCGTGTGTGTGTGTGTGTGTGTGCGTACGTGCGTGTGTGTGTGTGTGTGTGTGTGTGTGTGTGTGTGTGTGTGCGTACGTGCGTGTGTGTGTGTGAGTGTGTGTGTGTGCGGTTGTGTGTATCTGTGTGTGTGTGTGTCTGTGTGTAGGGGTGGACAGCACGTCGTGTCCGTCTGTGCGTGAGCCTGCGGCAAGACCCGTCGAGCCGCGGGGGCTGCAAGATCCAGGTCGCCCTGGAGGTCCGGCTCCTCGATCCGTGCGCCCTCCCTTCCAGAGCATCGTTAGGAAGGGATAGGCTCGGGGGGGATATCGCCGCCCACCAATCGCCCAGTCATCGCCGATAGCCACCACCCACAAAACCACCCCAACCCAACCCGAAGGCCTCTCAAGTCGGGCCGGAGGATCGCGCCGCGCCGCCGGTGCATCGGAGATGCGGCGCGATCTGGAGCGCGTTCTCCTCCGTCCCCGCGTCGCCAGTGCCTCGGCGATGCGGCACGATCCCGAGCGCGTGCCTCTCCGTCCCTCGCCACCCACCGGGCCACCCCAATCCCAACCCGAAGGCCCCGATTTGCCCTCTGTTCCCAGTGGGGGGGTGGGTCGGGGAACAGTGAAAAGCACACCTCGGAAGCCCGTAACAAAAAGAATCAATCTGTAATCCCCCACAAAAGGAATCGATATGTAATCCGCCATCAAAAGAATCCACTTGTAGTCCGCCACAGATGAGTCAACTTGTCATCCGCAAGAACTTATCTGAGAATCTCCCAAACCCCTCCGCGAGCCTTGCTCCAGGGGGCGGAGACAAAACCCTTACCGCCCCCCCCCGCCCAACCCGAAGTTCGGGTCTTCGGGTGGGGTCGGGGCGGCCTGGTAGCAGTCAGGATATACGGCGACCCCCCAACCGCTCAGGCATCGCCGATCGGGGCCCGATAGCCCAGCCCCGCCCAGGAGCGTGCGGGTTCGCCGTCGGGGGCCCCTCGCGGATCTACACACATATACATATACATATATATATATGATAGGCGCTGTACTTCGCCGATGCCGGGCGGGTCGGTGTTGCCCTCCTTGAGCCGGTCCCGCCCCACCCGCACGTGCTGAAGTCACAGCGCGGACACCCGAAGGTCTCCACCAAGTGTCCCAGGACGGGCTTCTCGTCCCGAGTCGTGCTCTGTCGGTCCTGAGCCTCTGCAGGAGGGAGCGGAGCTGGGCGCTCCTTGTCGGATTTTAGTTTCGTGATTGCTTCGCGACGCGAGGGTCTGTTCTAGGCCTCCTGGATGGGGACCGAGTGGTCGGAGGATCGCGCCGCACCGCCGATGCGTAGCCGATTCATCGCCGATGTGTCTGCGATGCACCCGCGATGCATCGGCGACGTCGGCGTGGAGAAAATCGGGCTCCACATCGAGCCGCATCCAGCCGCTGCGCTGACTTAGGCTGGGGCTCTCGGATGGGGCTGGAGCAGGTGGGGCTGGAGGATCGCGCCGCCTTGCCGATGCATCCGCGATGCGGCTCGCCGACGGCGCCCAGAGCATCGGCGATGCGGCGCGATCCTCCGACCCCACTGGCTCGGCCCCGATGTGGGAGGCCTCCAGATCTGTCCCACCGCCGGCGCCGACCTGGGCGATGGAGGCGCGCCGCCGCCGCGAGCCTCGTCGCCAGGAGCGAGCTCGCAACACCTGCTCGCCTCGAGGCGGCCTTCTCGCGCACCCGCTCCAAGCATCGGCTCGTGGAGGTCCGCGCGGACAGCCTGGAGATCGGCGCCGGACACCCCTGGCGGCGCCGGATCCGCCGACCCCATCTACGGAGTAGGGAATCGACTGCAGAATTGATCTGCCCCAGGATCGGTTTCCCCCTCGGGCCCATGAGGAAGCGACGTAGACTTGTCCGTGGATCTGCAGAGCACTGCGGGTAGATGTTCCGCAGATTCGGGTGGGGCATCGATTCTGGGGCACATCGACTCTGCAGTCGACCCCCTGTGCTCGAACCTGCTCGGTTCCCGCCCGGGAGGCCCCCAGCCTCGGGAGAGGCCCGCGACCCCTCGACACCCGAGGTAGGGGGGGGGGATAGCGTCCCTGCCTTGGCGTGTGACTCGTGCTGCGCAGCGTGCCCTGTTCGAGGGGCGACTCCATCGAATGTAGCTGCTGGCGGTGGACGACAGAGCGGTGCAGCTGGTGACGAGCTGCGCGCGTGGACGGTTCGGCCCCCAGCCCAAAAGTACAGTCGGGGCGCTGAAGAATCAGGAGGGAAAAAAACACACAGACACAATTAATCCTCGATTCCCAGGAAAATATGGGAGAATATGGGAATTGGGGGGGAAGACAGAAACCCAGAAAATATGAGAAAATATGGGGACGACTGTTTATTTGTGTGTATTTATTTGTGTGTCCTAATTTCCCTTTAAAGAAGGAACCCTTTTCGTTGGGGAGGGGCTCCGTGTTCCTGAATTGTGTCGCAGTTTGCCTCGGGTTGTCCTGAGGCTTTTCCATGGGAAATCGAGGTTGAACCCATGGGAAGAAAAGGGGCCTCGTTCCTTATTTACCGTTCCTTGGGTCAGCGCCCCGACTGTAACTATATGGTGTCCCCCTCGACCCCCCGACGCCTCGACGCGCCCCCCCCCCCCCCCGCGGCGCCACGGAGGCGGTGCGGCAGAACGGCCGCGCGCTGCGGTACGCCTCCGCGGCGCTGCGGGCGGACGAGGAGCTGGTGCGGGAGGCGCGGCCGGCCCTTCTCCAGCGGTCGGGGGCCGCCCTCGGGGGCAGCTCGAGCAGTGGCGAAGCGTCCTGGCTCGCTTATCATCGGAGGTGGACAGACCTTCTACCCTGACGCGTCGATTAAGGAATTGGCCGTTTTCGGTTCGCGAGAGGGCGTCGCGGCCGTCATTTTTGCGGGTCCAGGTCCGTCGGTTTCGGTCTCAGGTTGTTCTGACTAAGGGGAGGTTTACTAAAGGGAGGTTTGTCCACCGCCGATATTAGCCCTACCGAACAATGTTCTAGGAACCGTCTGTGGTTCCCACGAAGGGTTCTCAGAACATTTCTGGCGGAGCCTGTCCTGTTTTATCACCTCGGGCTTTCTGTTCTGAGAGCATTGTTCTTGTTATTAGAACATTTTTGGGTTCCCAAGAACATTTCGTGGTAGGCCTATAGGAATGCCGGGACGGTCGGTCCCTGCTCAAGCAACAGCCCCGACCCCCCAGTAATAAAAGCGCGCGAGGGGAGATTGCTCTTTGCTCCCATCTTCGGCCTCGCAGTGACCAAGCCGCGCAGTGACGGGAGGTTGTTCGCTCCTTTCGGCCTCTTGGGGACCCTACCTGGGCTTCGGGACCGTCAAACAGAACGACGCGGGATGAGAAGCAGGTCCCGGGGAGTGGGTCTAGACCCGTGGGGGTCGACGATACGCAGGAAAATCATGACGTCGGTGGTCTGGGACTGCGGCGGGGTAGGAACAAGCGGCAGGGGCGGCGCAGCGTTGCCCAGTGGCCCATAGATCGCCCAGAGCCTGAAGAAGAAGAAGAAGAATCCGCGCGAGCATTTAACTCTTTGGAGGTTCGTATCGGTTTCCCGGGTCGGCGGTGAGCCCCCCCGGCGGCGCCTTCGGCGCCGCCAGAGCGAGGGGGCCAAGCGCCGAGCCGCGACATCTGCGCGGATCCCCCGAAAGGTTATGACAGTGCAGATGTTTCTCCTGCCGTGATCTGGACCATGTGTCGCCTAGCTATCAGCGATGCTTCGCCGATTCCAGCTCGATGTTTCCCCCCTTGAGCTGGTGCCCCCCTGACATTGCCACTCAGCCTCCGCCGCCAGCCCCAGAGTTCCAGCAACCTGAACCAATCTGCATAAACATACCTCGGAGCGCGCCAGCGGCGGCGCCGACGGCGCCGCCAGGGGGGTCCAGCGCCAACCCAAGAAGTCCGCGCGGGCCCTCGAATAGTTTTGCCTCTGCCGATTTGCCTGTTGCTGCTGGGCTCCTGTGCTGGTGGGGCTCCTGGGGGGCTGAGGTGGCCCAGCCTTGGCCCCCGCAGTCAGAGAGGGGGGGAGGACGAGGCCCCCTCGCCTCCACGGCCCGACGCGGCTCGAAAAGCTTGTCGGTCTCGGGCCTTGGGGAGGGTCTGGGGACTGACGTTGGGCGGATCTGCCGTCGCCCCTCCCCTCGTGGCAACCTGTTCCTCGGAGCCCATCCAGCGCAGACTCCCTGGCCACGAAGGGATCTCTTAAACCGTGAGGTGGAGATTTCTACCGTGAGCTAACCTCAACAGCGCAGTGCCAACAGCGTAGTGTCGGCTCACGCGACGCCGTTGACACTACGCTGTGGACACTGCGCTGTTGGCACTACGCCGTTGACTCGGCTCACGGTTGCACCGCCGCCTCGCCACGAGACTTCGAACCCGGGGGCCTGCTCTGGGCCTCACGGCCCGCCAGGATTTTTGCAGAATTGCGCCGACCGGTCTGCGGCAGTGCTGCGCGAGGGCTCCCCACGCTGCCTGGAGGGGCCCGCACGGGGGGAGGCCCCGGGCCTGGGCTTCGAGCTGCGCGCGAGATGCTGTGCTGTTTGGGGGCGCGGGGTCGTGATCGATGCCGCTCGGCTCTCCAGGGTCGGTGGTCATCAGGACGCATCTTACGGTCAACCCGCGCAGTAAAGGATGGGCAACCTGCCCGAGGGTACCCTTGCATCCTTGTCCCTTCGGCCCAGCCTCAGTAACTTTCGCCGGCCGACCTCGACCGGAAAACGTTAACGTGGCACTCCAAGGCCCTTGCATCCTTACCGCGCATCCTTCTTATACGGGTTGACTGTAGCTTAGCCCAGTGCCTGTGCATTACCCCGTTTTACTCCACAGATAGCACTCGTGGGAGACGACCCATCGGCCAAGGGCAGACCTCCGTCAACGAGTGAATGGAACCCTGGCGAGTGGAGCTGTTGCGTGCTTTATTCGCTTGAGCAAGCGAGTGTTATGCCTCCGAGGCTGTGAAGTGCGACACCGACGCGTTCGCCTACGCGGCCCAGGATATCCCAGCTGCGCTTCGTTCCTGCCCCTCCCCTCCTCCTCCCCCTGATCATACAACGTCTGGAAGCATACTGACGGCCATCCCTGATGGTCGGTATGTTCACCTACGTACCGCATCGACAGGAGACTGGTCGTACCCCT